AAAGTTTATAACCACTCATTAAACAATTATGATTCATGAGCCCATTCAACTAAATGTAACTCAATTTCCACTTCTCCATCTTGTCTGTAAGGAAATAATAGAAATTTGGTCAGTGACGTGGAAATTTCAATCCTGGGTTTTTTGGGTATAGTGGAAAGAACAGAGACTTAGGTATGTGGTGCGTCACGCTTTAGATACTGGGCTCCTTTTAAGTGTGTTACTTGGCAAATTACCTAAAAACTACCCCTCCATTTTGATACTCACAGTATGACACTATAATGCCCTACAAGATTTTGTGAAGATTAAAGAAGATCATGAATGCCAAACTTGCCTTATGGCACAGTGAGTGAGCAACTCACACTTCTTTCTCCTTCTTCCCTAAGTTATCAGCCTCATAAGCCCTTCCAACAGGGACAGCCAGAGTGTGTCACACATTTGAGAAGTTCTGTAGCACTTCAAAGGCAGACAAATGCCTGGTGGAAGAAGCAATCAGGGAAGGCTTCCTGGAGGAGGTGGGGCCCACTGTGGAATTTCTGCCAGTGATCCCTGGAAAATCCCATTCTATGTACCAGCTTCCTGGGGGCAGCAAGCCATTTGATAAAGCCAGGAGTGTTTTAGCAGTTGAGTCTGACGTTGAGCAAACACCCGGGTGTTTATTGCTACTCTCTCTGAGATGAGTACTCAGCCCTGGGATGAATCTGTATGGACAGACACAGCAAGTGTCAAAGAATAAGGGTATTGATGGGATGTGTCTTTGCACAGGTATTTCCTTAGAACCCGCCATGGGTCATACATTGCTCTGGGCCCTGGATCAGAAAGGAATTAGAGAGGAACCCAGCCCTTCAAAGTTGGGGGTAGAGGTGGTTGGAGTGTGTTAAATGGTTGAGTGTGAATGACCATTGCCAGAGAGAGGGGAGCTGGGAGGAAATTGGGTTGTAGGGGGACGGTTTAGTTCTGGGGCCCCTGTGGGGTCCTGAGCTAGATGATCAGACGGGTCTTTGAATTGGAATTGTTATATTTATTTAATTTATTAACAATAAAATAAATCAAATCAATAATAAAACAACATGAATAATAAAAATAAAGCAAAATTACAGACAGTAATGCTAGTATTAGTAATAAATATAAAATAAGCACAAGGAATGCATATAATAAATATAATAAATCAGATTCAAATACTCAGCCCTGGGATGAGTCTGTATGAACAGACACAGCAAGTGTCTGAATAAGGGTGGTGATGGGCTGTGCTGCCTCATATTTGATAATAATTCAAGTGATAGTTAATAATTCTAGGGCTTGAGCAGCGGGAGACGCCACACTTTCACTCAGCTTAAAGGGGAAAGCCCAGGCAAGGAGGACCAAGCTTTGGGGTTCCCTGTGACTGACTTAGGGTGCTGCAGGGGCTCGGAGGCAGCCAGCAACGGGCAAGCAGGAGACAGTGAGGCGGGCCGGTGGCTACTCTGTCCAGAGATTTGGCTTTAGCGGAAAGAGCAAGTTAGACAGAGAGGTCAGCAGCGGTCAGCGATGTCCTCCTTTCAGAGTATGGTTTCTGTTTGGGTTAGGGTGGCGACGCTCACGTGTGCCTGCGGCGGGAAGGAACGGGCAGAGAAAGACAGGAAAAATCAGAGCAGAGGCCTCCCAGCCACTGGCCGGCCAGGCTCATTTAGCTGATGATTTTACTGTCGGTTTCCTGCGGCCAGAGGGAAGGGTGGGGGAGGGGAGGGGGAGGCGCCGGGCTCTGTCTTGGCGGAGGCGGGTCTCCACGGTGCTGGCGCAGTGGGCATGAGCTATATTTTGTGTTGAACTGGACTGGCAAGGGCCCCTGGGTAGCTAGTGGTTAGATCCTGGGAAAAGTGTTCTTCTTCTTCTTTTTTTTTTTTTAAGATTTATTTTGTTTTATGCAAACAAGAGCTGGGGTACAGGCCAGAGGTGCGGGGGTGGTAAGCAGATTCACCAGACATAAAGTGGGGAGCAGAACAGGCAGATGTACTGAAGTATACTGCTGAGGGGAGTGGTGGGCAAGACGAAAGAGGTCTGCTGGACCATGTGGGTCACATCCTTGGGTGGGGATCGAACTCATGTTACAGTGGCTGTGGATGACCTCCCCGTGCTGCAACTTAACCCCCTGTGCTACCAGGGAGGCCCTTGGAGAAGTGTTCTTGAAGGCCCAAAGGAGGGGTGTCTTGATGCTGCTGCCATGAGGGGCGGGAGAGAGCAAGAGGTCAAGGAAAGTGTCTGTGGGGTTAGGGACGGAGCACAGACAGGGCTGAATCAGACTGGAGCGTGGAGAATACTAGCTGCAACTTCTGTCCTCGTGAGGACATCCTAGAAGGTTACCTGTCACTTAGTTGTGAGATTTCTTTTACTTCTGCTCCGTTACAAATGGACTAATTCATCTCACCCTAATGCCAGCCGCTCTCTAAGGCAGCCACACTACAGTCAGCCCCGGGGCTCCCAGATCCTAGCCAGACGGGACTTGAACCCAGGATTTGGAGCTGATCTAGAGTCTGCAATGTTAACCCCTAGTGGCATGTCACCCCACACGGCCTTATTTTATACAGAATATCCCTCTCTCCATGAGCCTCTGGGGTGGCGGGAGTCATTATTCTCATATTTCACAAGAAAACACAGAAGTGTGGTGACTCACCTGGGGTCACACAGCTGCTCTGTGCCTGAGGGGTCTCCAGACTGTGTCTGTCTAACTGCAAAGCTGGGGTTTCCCCTTCCCAGAGGGATGAAATGCAGGAGTTTGATAAGAAGTCCAATGCCCAAAAGGAGATACCGGGGGATTTGGGAGACAAGGGTTCCTGTATTGCCCTGACCTGGGAATAGGGCGGAGCAAGCTGGGGTTCGGCAGAATGGGACTTCAGAAAGTGGACGGGGCTGCCCTTCCAGTCAGGAGGGGCTGCCCAGGCTGCGCGGCCGTCCCCAGGTTGAGGCTGAGTGAGACAGAGAAAATTCCAGCAGGAGCTGAGGGCTGGAGCATTTGATAGGGGCCTGGTGTGGCGGGAGGGGCGGGGACTG